ACATTTCCAGCTCATTCAGCTCTGATTTACGTGTCAGATGCCTGTTCCCTCGAGAGCTGTGGGCTCCGTGCTGCGCTCAGCACGGCCAGGACCATCTGCCTGCCCTTCCTGGGGTCATCTCCAGCCCAGTCCTTGGAGAACAGACCTTTTTCCAGCTCTGATTTCCCCCCACCCCGGGGCTCAGGCAGAAGCAGAAAAGGCATCTTGCTCTTCAAATTCTTCTTGCTCACATTCAGCTCTGCTTTTTTTCCCTTTGCAGATTGTTCCTCTCTCTTCTGGGAAGTATCCCCAACGTGGGGTCCATGGAGCATCCCAGGACCAAGCTGACATCCCCACTGATTTATTCTCCATGGGGACGTGAGGACGCTGCCTTGGGGGGCCAGGAAGGGGGGAAAGGTTTAAATAAATCCCAAACTTCTCGGCTTCCAGGTAGACCCTGCCCTTCGTCCTCTTGTGTAGAGACCAGGTATAAATAAACTCTTCATTTTCATTGTTTTATTCACGTTAATATCCCATCTTCCAGAAAAATTGCTGCCCAGAGGGATTCTTAAGGGCTTTTTTGATGAGAACATCAACCTTCCCAGAAGGTTTGGAAGCTGAAATCACTGCCGTGGCTCCTGGAGGTGATGATGAGGTTGTCCCTGGGTGCAAAGCACAATCTTCCTGTAGCCCCACTGGACTGAACCTCAAATTTTCTCTCCTTGGGATGGTCGGAATTCCATCCGTGGAGCCAGGGAGGAGGCAACCACAGGCTGGGATCCAGGGAAGAGGAAACCTTCATTCTCAGCCTTGGGAAGCACTTGGAAGTGTCCAGGCGTGGTCTCGGTTCCAGTGACCCCCACCATAAAACTCATCACGCTCCTGAAACCTCACAAATCTCCCCCAAAAATCTGCTGGAATCCTTTCCCGAAGCTCCAGGGGCAATTTGAGGACAATCCCCTCGATGACTTAAGGGACTGCAAATCCATTCGTGAGGAAGATCCCTTTTTTCATGGAATTTTACCATTTTACCATCAATTCCTCCCCATCCCCTGGTGCAGAGACCCCCCAACCAGGGGCAGAAGGGGGTCCCCCCTGCACCCACCCTCCCTGGGGTGAACAGTTGAGAAGAGACTACAGAGAATCACTGCGATTGCGGCTGAATCAGTTTTATTATTGCAGTTTGTAGGGTTTTTTTGGTGGGTTTTTTTTTGGAAAAAAAAAAAAAAAGCAAAATTTCTACTCGGTCCTTTGGAACGTGGTTCAGTTTGAGAAAATAAGGTGTGGGGGGGAGGAAATCGCTGCGTTCAGTGCCTTCCTTAGGTGTTTTTATGGCTAAATTGAGAATAAGCTGTCGTTAAGTGGGACCTGATGGTGAATTTGGGGCTCAGTCCCCTCCTCCCTGCCCTGGGGAAGGGTCTCCTTGGGTGACTCCAGCCAAGGCTTCCCCGGGGGGGGGTCTCTGCTCAGGAAATCCCTCAGGAAGGGAAGGAACAGCGGCGCTGATGTGACTGGCAGGTTTTCCATACACATGCCATTCTCCCTTAAAATTGGCTTTTTTTTTGTTTCTCTCATCCCGGGAGCGGGATTGAAGGAGGGGGAGGACTTTGCAAAAATTGAAAAGAAATAATAATTAAAAAAAAGGAATACAAAGAGAGAGAGAAGGGAGAAGGGGAGAGATTTTGATCCTTTCGATTTAAAGTTGGAGGTTCCCCTTGTAGGAATGAGTTTATAGATATTCTCAGGAAGCATCTAATAATATAATAACACAAAAAACCCTCTATTTGGCCAGGACCTGGCAAAATACGGTGCTGAGCCCAGGGTTGGAGCCTGGTGTTTCTGCCCGCTGAAAATTTCCCCTAATCCACTTTAATTTGGTTTTAAATGAAAACAATGTAAAAATGGCCCATGGAAAAAATAAAACAAAAAGCCTGAGGCTTCTTGAAGGGGGGCAGTTGGTGAAACAAAGCATTTTGTCTTTTAAATGAAAACAATGTAAAAATGGCCCGTGGAAAAAAAAAACAACCCAAAAGCCTCAGGCTTCTTGAAGGGGGGCAATTGGTGAAACAAAGCATTTTGTTCTGACTTGGGAGAGATTTTTAAGGAAAGATTCACATTTTGTGTAATACAAAAATATTCCTAAGTGAAAAATAGACGTTTCTACTCTGAAAACTTGATGTTTTGTGTTTTTTTTTCTTCTTAAGTTATTCCTTTTTTTCCTGGGCCCTGTCAGAAATGCTGCTTCTGACAGGGGACGTGTTCTAAAAGAAAGTTTCCGGTGAATTTTGGAAATAGTAAATCTCTGTAAGGTCCCGGCCAGTGGGGCTGGGCTGGGGTGGAGAGAAGGGAGGGTGAACTGGAGGAACGGATCAAATCTGGGGTCTGGCGTTGGAAAAATGGTCCTAAATCCTGTGTGGGGCTTGTGCTGGGTGCACTCGACGGGAGGAGTGGGAGAACTGGGCATCTTCTAGGGCAGGAGTGGGAGAACTGGGAGCAGACAAACGGCCGTGGGTCGGTGCTCAAGTGGAGCCCTGATGGAAATGGGCACCCAGAGCTGCCCCCCAGCTTGGTCCTTTAGGATTTCAGACCTGGAAATGACCTCCTGGGTTTTGGGAAGAGGAGAATTGTAATTCTTCCCAGGCTGGGAGTCGTTTCTTCCTAATTTCCTAAGTCAGCTCCACTCGTTGATGCTGGGAGGGCTGGAGCCCCTCTGCTGGGAGGGGGGGCTGAGAGAGTTGGGGGGTTCAGCCTGGAGAAGAGAAGGCTCCAGGGAGACCTTGGAGCCCCTTCCAGTCCCTCAAGGGGCTCCAGGAAAGCTGGGGGGGACTCTTGATGAGGGAGGGGAGCGATGGGATGAGGGGGAAGGGTTTTAAGGTGAAAAAGGAGAGATTGAGGTTAGATCTTGGGAAGAACTTGTTTATTTTGAGGGTGGTGAGAGCCTGGCCCAGGTTCCCCAAAGAAGCTGTGGCTGCCCCATCCCTAGAGGGGTTCAAGACCAGGTTGAACAGGGCTTTGGGCAACCTGGGCTGGTGGGAGGTGGCCCTGCCCAGGGCAATGGGGGGACTGGATGGTCTTTAATGTCCCTTCCAACTCTAAGCACTCCATGATTCTATGTTTTCCTCCAAATCTTGTTCTAGGTACAAAAAGAAGCCTGGCAAAGGTTGCTCCAAAGAGATCCCACGTTTCTGTCCACCTCCAACAACACACCCCTTTTCTCTGGACAGCAGAGCCCTAAGGATGGCAACACCGTGCCCAGACCTCCAGGTCTTACCCCATGGGATTCAGTTCCATCATCACGTGGAGGCAACAGGGAATTCAAGGTGAGCTCTTAACGTTCCATCCCTGACTCCAGCACCATTTTCACCCTCTTAATTGGCCAATTTTTATATTACCTTCTTGCCTAGGAAAGACTCAAGAGCATTTAATGCCCCCTGGATGGTCAGGATCAGGTGTGTTTTCACACTCATGTTCCAACATCAGCCCAGGAGGCCAGTCCCAACACAAATCCATCCCAACCCAGCCCAATTCAAACCCCTGGGATTTTAGCCTGGCTTTCTTATTCCGAAAACAAGGCTACTTTTAATGCTGGAAGTCACATCTGGAAAATATTTGCATATTTTTCTTGTTCTCTGGATCAAAGAGCTGAGCAGGGAGGGTTTTATCAGAGCGGCTTTTTTCGTCTCTTTTAGGGGTTATGGTTTTTTTCCTCTGGTGCATCCAAGCAGATCCTTCGAGTGATAGAAAAAGGTAAGAAAAAAAACATCGAAAAGAACAAAAAATGCTGGGAGGGTGGTGTGTAAACCCTGCAACAAGAGCTGAGGTGAATGAGCCTTTCCAAACCTGCCCTCAAAGAGCTGTGCTGGGCTCAGGAACAAGGAAAAAAGGTTGTTGCAAGGCCCAGAAGTTTGTCAATAATAAGATTTTTCAGAATCTTGGTGCCAACAGTCATAATTCCACCCGTAATTCTAAGAGAGGAGGGGGAGAAGGACTAATTAAACCCAACCAGAAATGGGTTTCTTTGCAGGGCTGGCAACTGCACGTCGGCAACATGAGCCTGGGTGGTAAAAGTGACCAGTGAAAACGACCCATCTCCTCTCCAAGGGAGGTCAACCAGCGAGAGAAAAGAGACACCACCAGGAAATAACTCTGTTACCCATCTCCTCTCCAAGGGAGGTCAACCAGTGAAAGAGAAGACACCACCAGCCACCACCAGGAAATAACTCTGTCGGGTTTAATATTTTGGGGGATTATTTGCAGTGCAGGTAAGGGAATTAGGTTTCCTTTGTTTTTTAAACAGTTGGATGTTACCTGGTGGGGGTGCTTCGAGCCCCGTGAGGCATCTCAACATCCTCCTTTCTTTTTTTTTTTCTTCTTTAAAGGCGTGAAAACTGAGCCACCTATTTAGCAAAGTGCTTGGCATGGCCCAGAGGAGGGTATTTGAGCTGTCTCAGAGGCTCAGCTTTCATTTCAGGGGGGGGTTAATTCTCATCTTTGGGGGAGCCACAACTGGCTGGTGCCTTCCTGGGGAACACACCAGAGAAGACAATCAAACCCACCAAAACTACCTTTGGGCTCTTGGTTTGCACAACCCTGATATTTTTTCCATTTCCCCTCAGCTCAAAGATAAAGATAAAAATAAAAATAAACTAATGAAAGTGGAAAAGCCAGAAAACAACCCCCTCAAGCCACCCCGTCGGGGCTGTCTGTTCCATCGGAGGCTTTGATCCTCTTATTTGCACGGAAAAGGAAGACTTTTAACTGCAAGTAAAGCCAGAGAGGGTGGTTTGGGGACAAATTGCATACCTGCCACCCCCCTTCTGGGGGGCTGTTTGGGATTTGTGTACCACGAGAATGACCCTGGGGGGTTCACAAAAGGGACCGGTGCCAGGACAGAACCCCAGGAGCCACAGTCCTCCTAAAATTCCTCGCCTAAAATTCCAGCATCTTCAAGACAGTTCCCGGATAACGGGGACTTCCAAAAGCATGGGCTGGGACAGACACTTTTTTTTTTTGTGTGTGGTTTTTTTTTTTTTTTTTTTTTTTTTTTTTTTTTTTTTTTTGTCGTTTATTTCCAAGAGGACAGTGAAGGGAATAAAGAGGAGACTCTTGGGTCGTAAGGCCGGGTACAGCTCGGGCGTCAGAGCAGCAAAGCCAGGGCTTGTAGAGCGCAAAGAGCATCGGTCCCCGTCGTGGTGCACGTGCTGCTCCAGCCATGCAGGGGGGTTTTTCCAGGGACTGGTGGCTTTCCTCCATCCTCCGAGCACGACAGAAGCTGGGGGGGGGGGCCTGCGGTGCAAAGGGGTGCTCTTGAAAAAAAAAACAGGAGGTATCAACTCAATTTATTGGAACACGGGGTCGGTTTTCGGCGGGGGATGCGGTGGAGGGAAGGAAGGGTTCGAGCTTTGAGAAGCAAACCTGGGTGAGAACAGGCACCTTTTCACTCTTTTGAACACTGTAAATAATAATAATTAAAAAACAAAAAAAAGACCTAAAGGCTGCCCTCCCCTGTTTTTCCCCCCCAAAACCTCCTTCCCAATCCCGAGGCTTGCCTTCACATCATGCTCTTCCTGTACTGGGACTGTGAGCTCTGTTTGGGTTTCGAGTCCGACTGCTGGAGTTCAAACTGTTTGTACAGGTCCCTCAGCTCTTTGATCTCCTGCAGCACCCTCTTGGCTTGGCTCCAGGTGGAAGAAGCCTCCCCCAGCAACCTCTCCGATTCCTGCAGGATCCTTTCAGAGTCCGACTTGGAAGATGATGAGGAAGAAGAAGAAGAAGAAGAGGTGGTGGTGGTAGTAGTGGTGGTGGTGGCGGCGGTGGTGGTGCTGGTGGTGGAATCCTTGGTCTTTCTCTTGCCTTCCCCGTAGCCCTTCACCTCTGTCAGCAGTTCCTGAGTTTTTTCCAGTTTCAGTGCAACCAGTTCTTGTATCCGGGACAGTTGCTCCGGTTCTGCCGAGGCAAACTGAGCCTCCAGCCCCCTCCTCAGCACCGCCCGGTGCGTGGAAGAGTCCCGTCGAGACAGAATTTCTTCCATGGAGGCACATTTATTCTTTTCCGAGTGCGAGAGCTTTTTAGGGACCTGTGGTGTGTACATGGTCCCTTTCTCAAAGGAGTCATTGCGTTGCCCGGATCTGTCCCAGGAGGTCACCTCCCGTCGCGGGAGGCTCCCCGTCCGGCCTTTCTCCGATGGCTTGACGTTCTCCGAATCGGAGCGGCGTCGGCCAGCGGTGAGATGGGCCACCGACTTATCCAGGTCCACCCGGAAACTCTCCTCGCAGGTGCTGTGATCCTCCGGAGAGGCGTCTTCCTCCTGGATCAGGTCGAGCGTCAACATGCCATCAGAGGTTGAGGTAGATGCCTGGAGAAGCAGATAAAGAGTTGTGTTATCACCGGAACCACACTCTACATGTCTTTTATACCCAAGATACGTGTCACCTGCACCAGGATGGACCAGGAATACAGAATCACAGAATCTTCTAGGTTGGAAGGGACCTTCAAGATCATCTTGTCCAACCGTCAACCCAACTGACAAAAATAGACACCCCCACAACAAACAAGGAGCATCATCACTAAACCATCCCTCCCAGCACCACATAAACCCGGCTTTTGAACACCTCCAGGGATGGGGCCTCAACCCCCTCCCTGGGCAGCCCATTCCAAGGGCTGAGAACCCTTTCAGGGAAAAAATTGTTCCTAATATCCAGCCTGAACCTCCCCTGGGGCAACTTGAGGCCGTTTCCTCTCGTCCTGTCGCTTGTGACTTGAGAGAAGAGACCGACCCCCACCTCTCTACACCCTCCTTTCAGGGAGTTGGAGAGAGCAAGAAGGTCTCCCCTCAGCCTCCTCTTCTCCAGGCTGAACACCCCCAGCTCCCTCAGCCTCTCCTCATCAGACTTATTCTCCAGACCCCTCACCATCTTTGTTGCCCTTCTCTGGACCCGCTCCAGCACCTCAATGTCTTTTTTATGGTAGGGGGCCCAAAACTGGACACAGCACTCAAGGTGAGGCCTCCCCAGGGCCCAGTACAGGGGGACAATCACCTCTCGGGCCCTACTCCCCACGCTGTTCCTGACACAGGCCAGGATGCTGGTGGCTTTCTTGGCCACCTGGGCACACTGCTGGCTCCTGTTCAGCCGACTGTCGACCATCAGCCCCAAGCAGGTGAGACCTCCTGACAGAGCTCCAGGTTCGTAGCTGAGATGGAGATCTTTGGACAAGCCATCTGTGCTCGCCCATGGCTGAGTTCCCCGGGCTAGAACGGTTCTTCTCCATCAGGAACTTGAAGGAACATTTCATTTTCAGCCATGAAATGATGCCAGGTGGCAAACTACCACCGTGAAAAAGGGTTTGTACGAGGTCTCCAAGAATGGAGGACGAGATCTGAGGTCGCCCACCACCCTCCTGGGTCTTGGGACAATTTTCAGTTCAGGCCAGAGCTCAAACAGCAGCTCTTCTCGCGTTCCCCTTACAAATGGAATAGTCTCAAGGGGGTTTTAGGGCAGGAGGGGTGTGGGGTTTGTGGGGGTGAAGTGGGGTTTGCCCTACGTACCACAGCCATCAGGTGTCCCCGCGTTGGGGGGCGTCGGGAGTGCTGTATTTTCGCCCTGTCGCGCGTTGGGTGGGCGAGGTAGCTGTCCTCCTCCACAGTGACCTAAAATCGTGACAAAAGCTAGTGAACACCTTGGGGGCCCAGAAAAATGTGAACCACCCCTCATTTCTGTAGCTGTGACCGCCCAGACGCGCTGTGGCACATCCTTTATTCCTCCAGGATTCCCTTTCCCTTGTGACCCACGTGTTGAGGGTGAATTTCTCCCCCAGCCCCCCAAGAAAGGGTCCTTCACTCAAGGGCAGGGGTGTAAAACCTGCTCTGCACAGTGTCGACAGCACACTGGTCGTGAAGCAGCCAGGATGGGGCGGACGAGATCTGAGGTCGCCCACCACCCTCCTGGGTCTTGGGACAATTTTCAGTTCAGGCCAGAGCTCAAACAGCAGCTCTTCTCGCGTTCCCCTTACAAATGGAATAGTCTCAAGGGGGTTTTAGGGCAGGAGGGGTGTGGGGTTTGTGGGGGTGAAGTGGGGTTTGCCCTACGTACCACAGCCATCAGGTGTCCCCGCGTTGGGGGGCGTCGGGAGTGCTGTATTTTCGCCCTGTCGCGCGTTGGGTGGGCGAGGTAGCTGTCCTCCTCCACAGTGACCTAAAATGGTGACAAAAGCTAGTGAACACCCGGGGGGGCCCAGGAAAAAGTGAACCACCCCTCATTTCTGTGGCCGTGACCACCCAGACGCGCTGTGGCACATCCTTTATTCCTCCAGGATTCCCTTTCTTGTGTGACCCACGTGCTGAGGGTGAATTTCTCCCCCAGCCCCCCAGGAAAGGGTCCTTTGCTCAAGGCAGGGGTGTAAAAGCTGGGATGGTGGTCAGGATGTAGTGGGATAGGGCTGAGATGGGGGTCAGAGATGCCATGGGATGGGTCTGGGATGGGACTGGGATAGGGTTGGGATGCAGTGGGATGAGTTCAGGATGGGGTGAAGGATGCATTGGGATGGGACTGGGATGGGGTGAGGGATGCAGTAGGATAGGACTGGGATGGAGGTCAGTAGCTGTCCTCCTCCACAGTGACCTAAAATCGTGACAAAAGCTAGTGAACACCTTGGGGGCCCAGAAAAATGTGAACCACCCCTCATTTCTGTAGCTGTGACCGCCCAGACGCGCTGTGGCACATCCTTTATTCCTCCAGGATTCCCTTTCCCTTGTGACCCACGTGTTGAGGGTGAATTTCTCCCCCAGCCCCCCAAGAAAGGGTCCTTCACTCAAGGGCAGGGGTGTAAAACCTGCTCTGCACAGTGTCGACAGCACACTGGTCGTGAAGCAGCCAGGATGGGGCTGGGATGCAACTGGGATGGGATTGGGATGCAACTGGGATGGGATTGGGATGCAGCTGGGATGGGATTGGGATGGGACAGGGATGCCACTGGTCAGGATGGGGCCGGGATGGGGCTGGACTGGGGTAGGGATGGAAGTGGGATGGAGTTTGGATGCTGGTGGGATGGGACTGGGATGGGGTGGGGATGCAGTGGGATGAGTTCAGGATGGGGTGAGGGATGCATTGGGATGGGACTGGGATGGGGGTCAGGATGGGGTGAGGGATGCAGTAGGATAGGACTGGGATGGAGGTCAGGATGGGGTGAGGGATGCAGTGGGATAGGGCTGAGATGGGGGTCAGAGATGCCATGGGATGGGTCTGGGATGGGACTGGGATAGGGTTTGGGGCTGGGATGCAACTGGGATGGGATTGGGATGCAACTGGGATGGGATTGGGATGCAGCTGGGATGGGATTGGGATGGGACAGGGATGCCACTGGTCAGGATGGGGCTGGGACTGGGATGGGGGTCGGGATGGGGTGAGGGATGCAGTGGGATAGGGCTGAGATGGGGGTCAGAGATGCCATGGGATGGGTCAGGGATGGGACTGGGATAGGGGTTGGGATGCAGTGGGATGGGACTGGGATGGGGCTGGGCTGGGGTAGGGATGCAAGTGGGATAGAGTTTGGATGCTGGTGGGATGGAACTGGGATGGGGTGGGGATGCAGTGGGATGAGTTCAGTATGGGGTGAGGGATGCAGTGGGATGGGACTGGGATGGGGCTGGGCTGGGGTAGGGATGCAAGGGGGAGAGAGTTTGGATGCTGGTGGGATGGGACTGGGATGGGGTAGGGATGCAGCGGGATGGGACTGGGATAGGGGTTGGGATGCAGTGGGACGGGACTGGGATGGGGCTGGGCTGGGGTAGGGATGCAAGGGGGAGAGAGTTTGGATGCTGGTGGGATGGAACTGGGATGGGGTGGGGATGCAGTGGGATGAGTTCAGAATGGGGTGAGGGATGCATTGGGATGGGACTGGGATGGGGATCAGAGATGCCATGGGATGGGTCTGGGATGGGATTGGGATAGGGGTTGGGATGCAGTGGGACAGGAATGGGATGGGTCCAGGATGGGGTGAGGGGTGCCATGGGATGTGTCTGGGATCACTGGTCCAAGGCTCGTTGGTGTCTGGACTTTGTCAAGACAAGGGAGCCCGTGTCCAGCCCTCAGTGTCCCGCTCACCTCATCCAAGATGCGGTTCTTGGCGCGTGTGATCGCGGAGTTGAGGGCATTAATCCAGGACTCTTTCTCTTCCGGACTCACAGCCAGGAAGATGAGATTCGGTGCCTACAAAAGAGGGAATTCAGGTCAGTGCCAGTGACTAAACTCTTACAGAGATGCTTTCCTGCTCTCCCTGCTCAGGGATAGGGGTTGGGATGCAGTGGGACAGGAATGGGATGGGTCCAGGATGGGGTGAGGGGTGCCATGGGATGTGTCTGGGATCACTGGTCCAAGGCTCGTTGGTGTCTGGACTTTGTCAAGACAAGGGAGCCCGTGTCCAGCCCTCAGCGTCCCGCTCACCTCATCCAAGATGCGGTTCTTGGCGCGTGTGATCGCGGAGTTGAGGGCATTAATCCAGGATTCTTTCTCTTCCGGACTCACAGCCAGGAAGATGAGATTCGGTGCCTACAAAAGAGGGAATTTAGGTCAGTGCCAGTGACTAAACTCTTACAGAGATGCTTTCATACCATCCCTGCCCGCAGAAAAGCTCCCCGGCCTTTACAGCTGCTTTGCCTCCTTGAGAAAACGTGAAGCAGACCCGTTTCCTCCCAAATACCCAGCTTTTCAACCCAAAAGCTGTTAGCCTTATTCACTTCCCTGGTGGCTGCAGTTCTTCCTTCCCCCTCTTTGCCTTCCCACACACCAGCCTGGGGTTTTTGCCTTCGTCAAAGGATGGTGCAGCATCTGCTGCTCACGGGCCGTTTCTCCGTGGCCACCTCAGATGTTGATGGTGGCTGTTGGAGCAGCAGCTACAGGAGGAACCCACGGAAGAAACCGGATTTTCCCTACTTTGATACGTCAGATGGACACTGAGGGCAGTTCTGAAAATATGTTGTGTGCAGGGGATGCAGGAACCTTAAGGTTTTTTTCATAGAATCATAGAATTGTCCGTGTTGGAAGGAACCTTTTAGATTGTCGAGTCCAACCATCAACCCAACACTGACAAACTCATCACTGACCTATGTCCCTCAGCACCACGTCTGGATGGTGACCCCACCACGTCCCTGGGCAGCCTCTTCCAAGGCTTCACAACCCTTTCCAGGAAGAAATTTTTCCCAATCTCCATCCTAAACCTCCCCTGGAGCAACTTGAGGCCGTTTCCTCTTGTCCCATCTCCTGTTCCTTAGGAGAAGAGACCAACCCCTCCTCTCTACACCCTCCTTTTGGGGGTTGGAGAGAGCAAGAAGGTCTCCCCTCAGTCCCTTTTCTCCAGGCTGAACCCCCCCAGCACCCTCAGATGCTCCTCACAACTTCTCCAGACCCTTCTCCTTGGGCTCCAGGCCCTTCTCCTTGTGCTCCAGACCCCTCCCCAGCTCCGTTGCCCTTTGTTTTTTTAAGTGAAATACTCAATAGAAATGAGTTTTGGCCTCTTCAACATTTTTTCCAGCCCCTCTCCTTGCTGCTTTCCATTTTCCCTTCTTTTTTTGCAGTCCCTGGTGTTACAACATCCCTCTCAAAGTGCAGGGGTGGGGGGGGGGCAGGGCAAACTTGGTCTCCTGAACCAAGTCGGAGTGAAAAGTGTAAATCCAGCTCAGGTGTTGCACAAATCCCCAGCCACACACTCCACAAACTGAGATTATCCAGTTTCACACCCCCCAATTAGTGGCTTAGACCTTCAGACCTTGGAGGCAGCCTGGCCTGCACCGAGATCTGATTGCTTTCTTGGGCTTTCTTGGTTTTTCTTGGGTTTTCTTTGGTTTTCTCAGGTTTTCTTGGGCTTTTTTTGGGCTGAACCACGCTCTCACGAGCAAAACGTACCGTGTTTCCAGGCTGCCTGGAGTGAGCGAGGGTAAATTTGCTGTGGTTCTTCTTGCTTCTGCTTTTGGACTTCCTGAGCTCTTCACATTTCTCATAATCGCTCAGGTCAAACGTTTCCTGTATGTTTTTTTCATCTTTGACCTGCGAAAAACACCAAAAAAAAACCAAAATAAAATTACAGCCTTTGCAGATGTCGGAGAGAGAGGCAGCGACGGGGCTGCTGCTCCCAGCACAGGGGGGGTTTGAAGGTGCAGAGCGTGGGCTGGAGCTTCTGGTGGGGTTTTGTGGTCACTGAAACACTGTGTAAGAGTAATCTGCATTAAGGCACAGACACATTAATTAATGGGACTGTTAACTGGTGTTTTCAGGGGAGAAACAAGAGATTTTCAACGTGATCGTTTCAACTTGAGTCCCTTCTGGAACGAGGTGGGGGCGTATTTGGAAGGATCACTTGAAAAATCACAGTCTCCTGGGTTAATTCCTGCTTTTGGACTCCTTGGGGATTTAAATGCCTCTTTTCCTCCCCCCCCAGGACTGGGCTGGTGTGACCAGACACGGTGTTAATGCTTGTGGACCCTCAAAAGGTTCTCCAGCAGCAAGAAGAGGACCCTGCCTGCGAGGAGGAGGTCCAAGGGGGAGGCAGGAGATGCTGGGAAGAGGTGGGCTTTCCCTCTGCCCATGAAAAGGGGAGATCCCATTAGCTCCTGGGGCTTTTCTGGAGGCAACACGACAAAAATTGGAGGGATAAAGATTAGCACTTCCTATTTTTAACCCGGGGGCATTACTGCAGGCTGTGCTGACAGCTGATTTTGGGGGGGGGGGGGGGTGGATGGATGGAGCACATCCCAGCCCAGATTACCCCCACGAGGCATCTGCTGCTCTCCCCCGATGCTCATCCCATGGGAAAGGGGCTGTGGGGAGAATCCTGGCCCCACTGACCACCCACACCATGGGGTTTGTTCTAGCAATTGCTGGGGGGGCCAGCCAGACCCCAAAAGACCCCCCCCCATAGACCCTCAGCAGCCAAGGGATTGAGGGAAGGTTTTAAGAAGGAATGGAGAGGCCTTTGGGGGCACAAGCACTTCTTGGGGGGGTCCTTCAGAGCCATCGAGGGGAAGCTTTTACAAAATCTCACTTTTTCCAGGTTTGTTCCCCCCAACTCCCTCCTCTGTTAGCCCTGCTGCGCCAGGCACACAGCTGGAGAGAAATATCACAGGGATTTAAATTAAACATGGGATTTTTGCAGGGCTGGGAAGGCTGGGGCTGAGCTGGGGGGGGGAAGCCAGGGCTCTTGGTGCTGCCCCATGACAGACCCTGACCTGGGGGTGCCGTCACTCGGGGGACACCTGGGGGATGCAGAGCCTGAATCTGCCTTTAGTTTTGTAAGGTCTTCCTTTTAATTGCTGTTTTCATAGAATCACGGAATGCTTTGGGTGGGAAGGGAACTTAAAGATCATCTTGTTCCCCCCCAGGGCCACCTCCCACCAGCCCAGGTTGCTCCAAGCCCCCTCCAACCTGCCCTTCAACCCCTCCAGGGATGGGGCAGCCACAGCTTCTCGGGGCAACCTGGGCCAGGCTCTCACCACCCTCAAAATAAACAAGTTCTTCCCAAAATCTAACCTAAATCTCCCCTTTTTCAGCTTCAAACCCTTCCCCCTTGTCCCATGGCTCCCCTCCCTCATCAAGAGTCCCCCCAGCTTTCCTGGAGCCCCTTGAGGGACTGGAAGGGGCTCCAAGGTCTCCCTGGAGCCTTCTCTTCTCCAGGCTGAACCCCCCCAGCTCTCTCAGCCCCCCCTCCCAGGAGTTTTTAATGCCCTGTCCTCACATCCCACTCCCTCAGCAGAGCAGCTCCGCTCTTTCCGTGGTAAACGTGAGGAATGTAGGTAACTGGGATGAGGGAGAGCTTGGTTTTCCGTGTCTGCTGAGGACAGAGGCTCAAATCCATCTCAATCTGCTTAATCCCCCCCCCCAGGAAGGGTCATTATGGGCTGGGATCCGAGTCTGAGGAACTCGGGTGCCGGGAAGGGCAGGAGGAGATGAGGTCTTAGCTCTTGGATTTCCAGAAAGGACTCCAACCCCGTTTAATAATTTTCCTCCCTCATTTTGGGAAGCGCCAAAGGAATTCCCCGTGATGTTTTCAGCAGAATTTAAACAAAGGGGCTGACTAAGAGGCTGTAACCAGCTTTCTCACCGGAGATAAAGTGACCATCTGGCCTCACAAAACGACCATGATTCCCCCTCCATCCTTTTTCCTCCTATCCCCAGAGTTTGTCTTCAGGAAGCAAAGCCCCTGGAAGCTCCTGCTTATTTCTGTCCATGACAACAACCACCCTGTTTTATGACCAGACACAGAAATGTCTCTGGTGGATAAAGTCTGTCTGTGTATCCCCCCCCCCTCCATCCCCCGTGCCTTTCTAATCGGCTTTTATCTCTTCCCAGCACCATCCTACAATCCACCTCTTTCCAAGAATCTTGGCTGAATCCAGCAGGAAAAGCCGATTCCCCCCCCTCAGAGCCCCCAGCTGCGAGGCTGAGCCAGATGTTTGCCTCCTGACTCCAGATGTTTGCTCATGTAGGTCACTGGGACTTCCCCGGCCCGACAGGCGAAGCCGGCGCCGTGATCCCAGGGGAGCCAGGACTCAAATATCTTGCCTCTAGGAATATCTACAGAGAGGAATATCCACGCTGTAAAAAAGATGGGTGTAGTTTGTCCAAATAAGCATCTAAAAAGACCTTTAAAAGACTTGGCCAAGGCTCTAACCAGCCCCAAGAGAGGAGACCCCTCCACGCAGATGGACCATGGCTTTCACAACATGCCCTGTGGGTGCACAGACCAGCTATAAAATGCCTCAGACTGAGAATAAGCAACACCTATTTACATTAAGAGGATGATGATGGGGTCCCATCGCTACGTTTCAGACCAGGGGGGCAGGTTCAGCCCCCCCAAGAGAGGAGACCCCTCCACGCAGATGGACCATGGCTTTCACAACATGCCCTGTGGGTGCACAGACCAGCTATAAAATGCCTCAGACTGAGAATAAGCAACACCTATTTACATTAAGAGGATGATGATGGGGTCCCATCGCTACGTTTCAGACCAGGGGGGCAGGTTCAGCCCCCCCAAGAGAGGAGACCCCTCCACGCAGATGGACCATGGCTTTCACAACATGCCCTGTGGGTGCACAGACCAGCTATAAAATGCCTCAGACTGAGAATAAGCAACACCTATTTGCATTAAGAGGACGATGGTGGGTCCCATCGCTACGTTTCAGACCAGGTGGGGCAGATTCAGCCCCAACAAGAGGTATTTTTGGGGGTGGGTGCTGGTGTGGGTCTGTCTGCCCTTTGGTCTGAGCTGCAGCTCGGGCAGGTTTGGGAGCTGATTCCCTCCCTACAGAACGTTACCTGAGAATAAGCAACACCTATTTACATTAAGAGGATGATGATGGGGTCCCATCGCTACGTTTCAGACCAGGTGGGGCAGATTCAGCCCCAACAAGAGGTATTTTTGGGGGTGGGTGCTGGTGTGGGTCTGTCTGCCCTTTGGTCTGAGCTGCAGCTCGGGCAGGTTTGGGAGCTGATTCCCTCCCTACAGAACGTTACGAAGCCATAAAGGGTCTGAGGCTGCAATTTAGTCATTTAAATGTGGTTTTGTCCTGTCCTGGGTGGTGGGAAGAGGCTCAGCACCAGCCTGAGATGGGCAGGGATTAGTGTCTCACCACCAGGAGCATTGCCAACTGATGTCCCCTGCCTTGTCCCCTGCACAGAGCCACCCAGGAGAGAAGTTAACAGAGAGTTGAGTGTATCATCGGTGAAAGGAGAGAAAGAGAAGGTGAAAAACAAACTTCAAAAGTCCCAGAAGGCTCTTTTGTCCCTCCTGGGGTCAAGAAGAGGGAGGAGGTGAGTGTGAGTGACAGAACAGGGGCAGGAGAGGGCGAGCGCTCAGGGGTTGAGGACAGTTAGTAGAGAAAAAAAGCAGGAAAAACCAATCCTGGAAGCCTAAATCCCGGTCACCTGCGTCGGTAGGAGGTGGGTGACAAACCTGAGGGTGTCCACCCCCCTCCACGTTTTTCAGGGAGATGGGAACCACACAAATAAAACCCTTCAGGCTTCACCCACAGAGAATTTGGGTTGCCGTGTTCCCGGCAGCCAGGCAGCAGGGTAACGTTTTGGGGAGGAATTAGCCCCAGGTGCCAGTTGTCAGCAGGAGGGAATGAAGCCAGATTTCATGGTTTGTGAGGAAAACGGCAGTTTTTATCCTCATTTACGTCGGGGTGATGATCTCCATTTATGTCAGGGTGACCCTCCCGCACCCAGGCTGCTCCCGGTGATCCCAGGAGTTCATCCCAGGGATGGAGATTTACATTTGCTGGTTTGTTTTCTTCTTCTTTGCTGAATAAAGATTGAAAGTAGATTTTTGGAAGTTAAGACTGGGGATTTTTTGGTCTCAGGCACCAAACTTGAAGCTCTTTAAGAAAACGACTGAGCTCTGGGACAGGCTGAGCATCTCCTCCGGGTACAGAGTCCTCAGTCTGGTTCCCCATCCCCAAAGAGCTTCCCTCTTGCTCTCTGATTTGCAAGGAAGAGGGTTTAAACAAAGGTGTCCAAGGCCTGAAAGTCCTTCTTTTCTACAGCTTTTAGGGAGTCAAGGAAGAGGGTTTAAACAAAGGTGTCCAAGGCCTGAAAGTCCTTCTTTTCTACAGCTTTTAGGGAGTCAAGGAAGAGGGTTTAAACAAAGGTGTCCAAGGCCTGAAAGTCCTTCTTTTCTACAGCTTTTAGGGAGTCAAGGAAGAGGGTTTAAACAAAGGTGTCCAAGGCCTGAAAGTCCTTCTTTTCTACAGCTTTTAGGGAGTCAAGAAAAAGCCAAATCTTCCCTGTCTGGGGCGATGTGTCCTCTCATGTCCCCGCAGGGCTTTGCAGATGTGGGTATTTTTTGGATCCATTAACCTTTCCTAAGGTGTCCCACCCTATAGTTGGAGGCTGAGAGGAACGAGGGGCCGTTTGGCTTCGTGTTTTAGGAAGGGAAAGGCCAGGATGGTTGATTTTGGCAACCTCAGCCCCAGCTGGGAGGGGACAACAGGTCT